ATGATAGAATACTTCATTCCACCTACTACATAGACCTTTTGAACTTGCACGTTGTTTTATACTTTCCATGGAAGAATCATGATTGTTACTTTCATAAGATATCCGAAAAATTCTTCATCGTCCTCCCTACATGGAAATCAAAATTCTAAGAAGATTTTCCAACTCGATTTATATTCATTTGAATGGAAGCTACTTTTCTTCACTGTTTCATTCTGATTGTTTTTCACCTTGTGTGTGATGCTGAACGAGTTGATGATGTATTAGAAGACGTGTTTGATGCGTGATTTTAGAATAATTTTCCATGCATTAAAAACAGTTGATGTTATAAAAGATCACTTCTTGAGTAATATGAGAAGAATTGTCTAAAACATCTGTTTGTATGGAATTGACCAAGTAATTCATCACATACAAGAAAATGAAAGCGATACAAATAATTCCAGTAAAAATTTTTTGCAGTTCCAAATATATTTTCATTGTAGATCATCCATCAGCATTGATGGAAGGGAGAGTATATGACCTGAAAACCTTGAAGTTATTCTGTGGCTAATTATTTTTCCAACACTTCTGACATATTTTTTTCCTAACTAAAAATTTAATTGTGCACCTTTTGTTTCTCCAATACATCAATTGACGTTATAGAATATGTTCTATCCTCATTATTGCCGAGAAAAGATGCTAACCTGCAGTGGGCTTTTCTTCTACTAATTATTTCCTTGGGAATACTTTAGTCTTGGATCTCGGCCCTTCCTAGGTCCTAATGGTTGGGAATTTTCTATTTTTCACGTTTTCTTATAAAAAAGTTTACTGGGAAATATCCAGAAAAATGTCTTGCAGATGTTTTCCCTGTCATTTTATTCTTCTTGCAGAATTCTTGCACCCTGGTGTGCACCTCAAAATCCTATGTTAGTAATAGAAACCGTGAAGAAACGCTGAACAGTTTGTATCTTTGTTTTCTAACTAACAGAACGAAATGCTTTCTGGGAAGGAAAATGGTCCGAACAAAGCCACCGATAGTTTCAAATCGACTAGTGAAGGTTCTAAAGGTTTGTTTTTTTTTCACCATTCCACTGTTGATGTAGCTAATCACTGAAATTCTTAAAAACTATCTTTGATCATTATTTAAAGTGTTCAAATGCAGTGACAGGGAGTAGTTGAGACTAAATAAAAATTAGAAAATTTCAATTTCTTCAAAATTTCGTGTTATGATTTTTCAAATCTCAAACACAATGTACATTTTTCAATTTCTTAAGTGAATTTTTTGATAAAAAGTCATGCTAGTTGAGTCATAATTGCACTTTCCTGTGGGTAGGCGTGTTCGTAATTCTTATGAAATGATGATTGTGGGCTGCTGGTAATGGTGGTGGAGTGGTGGAAACTCTCCTTGCTTAACACTTCTTTGGAGAGGGGGAATAGTGTGATATTCATTTTAAATTAAGTTACACGCTCTCTGATAAAAGGATAATTTGAGAACAGTGCTAGCCAAATGGACAACGCAGAAAGCGGCATGTCAGAGTATATGCCCTCATGTGCAGCACCTTTCCCCATCAACACGGCTCCATAATCTGTGTGGGCATGATGAAATGTAAGGTAAATCAAGACATTGAAGGAATTCCTAGACAGGGGCCAATTGAAGGCGTTTGAGGCCTAACACTTGATTATTCGTGTAAATTGTACTTAAACATGTGGAAACTTATTTGAGCCATGGAGAGGGTCAACAGATTATTAACGAAGAAACAGTGTTCATTACATTGTTCAATTAAAATTTCAAGGCATTATTTGGAATGGAAAAGTTTGTAAGGTGTTATCTCAATCCGCGTGCTGCCCTGTTCTTCATATTGAATTATTCATGCTTCTCTGATTCGTGGTGTATTCTGTCTTTAATTCAAGTCACGTCACTGAAACAAGGGGACCCTCATATTAAGTTAACAAGGCTTTGTCCCAAACCTATTATTCTCTGCTGATGATAACAGAAACTGGTGAATGAGTGGAAAAATAGAGGAGGCCAGATCGATCGGCAAATTTAAGGTTCCTTGTGTTGCTAGGCTTACTGGTGTTCCTCCCCATGTTATCTGAAGCCAGTGTTCATATCTGATGTTGTATTTCTAGTGAGTTGATTTCCATCCTCATTTATATTTTCCAGGTCCAATCGACACTAGTGTCAATGAAAAAACGGAGAGAGGAAATGGTGAAAAGAAAGGGCTGTCGTTGGAACAGTTGGAACCACCGGAGCTCCAAACTCTGAATGAAATCGTTTCATTGGTTCATGAAAGTGTGAAAGTTGCAAGCCAAGATCAGTATTATGTGCAGGACTCTTTTGCTCACAAAGAGGACAATCAAGAAGATAAACGCCATAGTGGAAGCTCATTTACCATCAGCGAAGATCCTGTTGCTGGTATTCTGCAGAAAATGAAGCCACGTGTACTCCAAAATTTCTTGCTAGCCATGGTGGTATGATGATTTTCCTTTGGATTCACTTGAAGAACTACAATAGCCTCAATGATTTTTATTTTTTACCTAGAAAACTTTAATATAGTGTAGACGAGATGATTAAGATGCAAGAAGATAACCTAATGTCTTGGTTGCCATCTAAATATAGGACATGAAATTATTTCAGGATCAAAAAATTGGGGTGAGCATATTGATCTGGATCAGATTCGGCAAACTTGCAATTCAGGAAAGGGACCTATCTGAAAAAAATGATTCGAAAATAATGATGAAACCTGTGACGGCATGCATATATATTTTATTAACGTAGTGATGGATTTAGTAAATACAGAGGTTGCTATCATCATTTGGCACATCTTCTTGTCTCTCTCCTACAGGGCAGTGCAACCCTTGTTGTTGAATGAAAAGAAAAAAAGGCAAAAGGGAGAAAACGTTGTAACCAACGGCATAGTTGACAGAGTCTTAGCCAATCCTGCTGACTAGCATTTGGAGTATATCTGCATGTTTTCTTGAACCCAAATGAAGGTAGACGAGGTGCATGAACTAAAAATAGGTGCCTGAAAGCTCCAGCTCCCATCTGAGCAGCAACTAGCTAGTCCCAGTGTAAAATAAATCTGAGTATGAGTATGAGGTTCGTCCTCATATTTCTCTCAAAAAATTTAGTCTTGATTCTCTGGGTAGCTTTGATGTTCCTAGAACTTTGCCATTTATAGCTTTAAATTTTAATTTCAGAAATGAAATTGGACGAAAGTTAGATATTGCTATAGAATGTCTTAGTATTGATAGAAGATGCTAGAGTGAGAAAGTAATGATTGCCACATCAATACCAACGAAATTCATGTCAACCCGACCTTGAGTAAATCACTTCTGTCATCTCTCGCTCCTCATTTATCACCACCATAGTCATCTCAAAGTCTTTCTGCCTATGGAGTTTCATACAGACGACCATATGCATCCCACCATGACCATGAATGAAGATGAGTACCATGAAACTGTACATGGCGTTGTTCAACACTGGAAATCAAGAAGCCTCCAAATGTTTTCGGCAACTGCTAGATACCATCAAATCTGGTTTGTAGAGCTAGCCCGAGCTACTATTTCCCAAATTTGGCAACAACTGGCTAGGATATCATTCGCTCAGGGCAAAGGTGAAGGAAGAACAACAAGAAGAAAGTGGTGGGTCTAGTGAGAATGGCGTGGATTAGGTTGATCTGATCTAGAACTCATCTTTAGAAAGTTTATCTATACTGTCTGCAATTAATTCATCACGCAATCTACTTTAAGACCTACATCTTTCTACAATGACATACTTCTGATTGGCGTTTCAGCATAGCTTTAAGCCCACAAACTCGAAGAGATACTTTTACATAAATGTCTTTATGTGGCTTTATGAGGAAAGTATTTGCCAAAATGTATTCCTAAATATTATTGGTCATCACATTCATTAGTTGAAATTCCTCCCTATGTTCTCCCATAATATCATGTTATTTGATGCTCAAGAATTTTTAAGAGAGAGAATATTAGTGGTTCAAATAGGGCGTTCTAATAATTGTAACTTAAAGTCTTTCCACCCCTTGAAAGGTTCTCATGCATCCATCTACTTCTATATAAAAGTGTATCCTAGGTTGAGACCGATGGTGACGAATTTGTCACTCAACAAAAGTTTACACATTGAGAAAAATAACTCTGCTCAGAAGACCCAACCTTTCAATTCATGACCATTGAATAACGACATCTCTAGCTTCCAATTACTTTGCCATAACTCGTTGTAGGAAGCAGGAGATTAGTTGAAAACTATTCCATCTTGTTTAGGTCACCTTGAGGATAATATATTCAATCATTAGGGCCCTATTCTTCTACCTCTCTAGGGAAGTGAGTGGCCTGATTACAACTCATTTTGCTCAAAGCTTAGTCATCAGGTCAGTCCATGTTGATGATGTTATGATGACTATTTTTGAATGTTGCCCTCATTGGTCAATTTTAATCTTCGATGATATGGATTATGTACTCCAACTGTTCCTTAATAGTTGAGATCTCACAAGTCTCCTTATCATTTATTAGGAGCATAGCGTCATCCTTAAGATGGAAAGATTTCATTTGAATTCTTCCCAATTGTTTCTCAATGAGCTCAATTCTCACATTGCTGGTATTGGGCATCATAATTTCTATCTTTAATACTAGTCTAATGATTTATGAAGTTACTTATTTTATCAATAGTATGTCCATATTGAGCATGTTTAAATGTCAAATAATTATCATACTTCAAATATTGATACATGTTTGATATTTTAGAATTATTGATTGAAAAAAAATCCTACTAAAGTATGCTCTTTTGTGGAGATTTATTTTTCTAACATATAAGGCGTTGTGTATGCAATTTTGTCTATATAGGGTTACCGAAAATACCCTCCATTATATCAACATATAATATTTCGTAATTCATCGTCCTTGAAGGCGCCGCAGATTGAAAACCCTCTCTTGGGTGGCCAGACACTCGTGAGGCTATGCTCGATTGTCGAGAAAACCCTCTCTTGGGTGGCCAGACATTGGTGAGGCTATGCTCGATTGTTGATGGCGCGTTCGATTTGATTGAGGTAATATTCAATGTCTGCAGGGTAGTCGTCGAACTTGGTGCGCTCTGGCTGTGTCCATCGCCCGTCAGCGTTGCGGGCCATGCCCCTGTTAGCGTCCTGACGCCAGTTTGGGGGCACCATGTATTCCTCCTTAAGAAAGTCGCAAGCCTTGTTCACTAGTGCTGGGTCCCGGCCAGTCGTCAGCGCAAAGCTCCGTTCCGTCCCATGATGCCTGTAAACCCCAATTAAATGTCAGGTAATCCAATCTCGGTCCTCGCTTATAATGCCCAAACCTACAAGGCTGGGCGGTGATGAAGTGTTCTTACCCGTCGAGTAGGTGGAGATAGGCCTCGAGGTTGTGGAAGCAGGAGGCCTCGGCTGTGTCCTTGAGGAACGGTGATCGCTTGTGATCGAGCGCCAGCTTCACCCCGACGTGGCAATAGCTCCACGGCATCGCGGCCCCTGCGCGGCGCACGAACTCTGGGACGTTTTCGTTGATGATAAGTCCGGGCACCTTGGGCACAGCGTCGTGGACGTTCACCACTCGAAGAGACTTCAAGCCGAGTATCTCCTCGAACCTCTCCTTGAAGGGTTCGTTCCCCAGTCTTGGCCCTGCAAAGGAGTAGACGGTCACCGGTACCACCCTCTCCTCCCCCCCCCCGGGCCGCACTCTGTTTAGCCCAACTTCCGCCAAGTCATAGGCGCTGAGGGTGGCGAGGGCGCCGCCGAGGCTGTGCCCTGTTATAGAGATGCTGACCTCCTCCCCTCGTTCCTCAGCGTACCGCAGCACCTGCCGCCGAACCTCCGCCAGCAGCTGGTCCCTGGCAGAGTACTTGGAGAAGCGGCAGTTCGTGTCCTTGTCCGTGTAGAGGTTCACGAATCCCGCCGCCACCTTCACGGAGCGGTCTGGGGTGGGTATCCCCTCGGCGTAGATCGGCTGGTTGAAGTTGACCATGTCCGCAATAAATTCCAGTTGGGTCACCGTGCCGCGCCAGCAAACTACAATGTCGCGGCGGCCGAGGAGCACCGTGGTGGCGTCGTCAGACACGGCGATGTAGCCGATCCAGTTAGCGGAATCGCTCCAGGCATTGTTTCTCTTCGAGCGCCGGGAGAAGTTGGGGAGCTTGACGTTAGATGTTGCGTAGAGGTAGCGTGTGACCTCGTAGCCAGCGTTCGCCATGTCAAGCGACTGGAAGAAGCTGCGGCGACTGTACTTGCAACCGCCGCAGTACCGGGAGTAGGGGTCGAAGTCGAAGGCGTCGTAGCAGGCTTGCGCAAATTCGCCGTACCGGATGAGCTCCGCCCGGAGGAGTGGGTCGAACGGGTCAAGCATGCCGACCCAGTTGTCCCTGCCGGCCACCTCCCGCCACCGTGGCGCCAGATTATCCCTTGGCTGGTGCGACTCCTGCCACCGCCTCTCCCTCTCGCGGGCATCCTCCTTGTCCTTGGCCTGCGCCATCTCTACCCTCCTGTCCTCCCTCTGCTGTTCCATCTCTACATCCTTGGTGATTGCCTTCATGGCGGAAGAGGACGGGGGCGTATTGGAGGCATCTTTCCCCCCCGACGACGCCCGGATTCTCGAGTGATGTCGCGAGGAAGATGTCTGAGCGTGGACCGACGGAGACAAGGGGAGGGAAGAAGGGAAGAGAGGCGATTTGGGTACTTTACTGCGGCTGGCAGCGGCCGATGGGAGAGGGAGGATATGAGAACTAGCGGCAGCCATGAATGTAGCAGAGGTTGTCCTGCCCAGTGCGATGTTAGGAGTCGATGAACAGCTACCTGTATGTCTAGGCTGATTTATAAGCCTAGTTTTGCTTAGTTGACTCAGGCTCCCTCGCTGTATCCGTAAGATTGTCACGTGGAACACGACGTCTTTCCTACCGTCCAATAAAATCTTCTGTGGGACACGTGCTATCAAATGCGATCTTTATCCTGTCATCCCGTCCCAGGGTCTCCAGCTTTTACCGGCGGCCTACGGTTGGCGTATTGCCGCCGCCATCGTAGGGAGGACGGCCTCTTCTCCGCCCCTGCGTTATCTGGACAAGATTTGCCAGCTTTCTTAACAGTACCCAAACCCTAGCTCCCCAATACTCCAAGACAATGGAGAAAAGTAAAACCAATAAAATCGAGTCAAGCCTTTACTTCAGAGGAGGAAGTACCTCGCGTTGAAGGAGTTTAATTACCCCAGTCATTAATGTTGCCCTTGGCCTTGGGGTATCTCCAAATAGACTTTGTCGGTCTCGCATCACCTTACCAAATTACGGTCTTCAGTCGCCATCAGTTACTTTGTCTTTAGTGTATGGAATAACGCTAGTGGAGCCCAGAAAATGATGCGACTCGAATGGGCCTTGGGGACCAGACAATGATGGGGATGATTATGTGGGCGTAATAGAAATCAAATAAATGATACAGAAAACACATATACTATAAGAAATAGATGATGGATAAAATCAAGTATGGCTGGAAAATTATACAGAAAATGATGTGTCACGTGACTAATCGCCGTCAGGGATATAAAGATAATAATAAATTATTATTGGGTAAAATAAACATTATCAATTATCTTTAAAATCTCAATGGTAGTCATAAATATGGCAATTCGTTCTTCCCTTCTTTTACACGATTGACGTCTTCAACAATCGGCAAGCTTTTTCCTTCCTCCCATAACTACACTCAAGGCCTCCAATAAGTTGTCAGCTCCTCCATTCTCTCCCTAAATGATGGTGATAGTGTGGTCGACCGCTCTTTCGACAGATCTCTCTAGCAAGCAACGTAGTGCTTCCAAATGATACTGTTGCGACTTCCGACGTAGTGTGGCACGACTAGATGAAACAAGCCACCACACTAATGTCTTCAGTTGCTCAGGAGGTAGGCTAAATTTAGGCAACGATTTATTTCTTATTTTCAGGATTTACTTACCTATTTTTGTCATTTATTTACATTTTACGACAAGTTCTTTTCATTTTATGTATATTTTGATTGAAATGAGTAGAATTAATTCAAAACTTGATAAATGATCTTTGTTCTTCTTCTAAATCTTCAGAAACGTATTTGAGATTAAGTTAGGATTATTTCTAACTTATTTTCTATTGATTTTGGCAATCGAATTTCAATGTATTTACGTTCCCGTATTCTACAAATAACGAGTATTTTTTATTTTCAAACACGAAATTACTGAGATTAAAGGTTGATTAATGAGCATTCAATAGTTAAAATAAGTTAGAGACATTTATAACTAACCTTGTGTCATATGTGTAAATCCTCAAGCATACATTTATTCGAGAAAATGGGTTGACTGTATTTCTCTCTTTCTTCATTTTCATCTTATCTCTTTCTCTCTCTTTCACGAGAGATCTCATCCCTTTTCTTTTTCATGAGAGCTCTCTCTCTTCCTCTTTTTCTCTCTCCCTTTTGTGAGAGATCTCATCCCTTCTCTCTCTCATGATAAATCTCTCTTCTCTCTCTCTTCTATCTTTTCCTCTTTCCTTTTCTCTACTTCTCTTCCTTTATTCTTCTCACCTCATCTTTCTATTTTATTATTTTTATTAAATATTAATAAAATATTAGAAATCACTCTATATATAAACTAAATTAGTTTTCACAACAGATTAATCAATCTCCTTATGTTCGACTTGAGACTTGCTTCTATACTAGTATTTTATTAAGTCTTAATTATAAATATTATTAGATAATGTGTATTTAAACAGAATGACAAGTGCACACCAATTTTCATAGGATGCGTTGCACATGAGAATCATTAATTGGACACCACTTGCTGAATTTTTTTTATTCAAAATTACACAAGAAGGACAAATAAACTTTTCTACTAGTTTTACTTCTCTACATCTAAAATGTTTTAAATGGGTCAATTTGAGAAAGTCACATGTATGGAAATGTAGCACACTTTGGAAAATAATTGAAATAGGAACATGAGGCAACAATCCACATCAAAATACAAAGGATTCGATTTATTATGATTTCAATGACATTAATATCTTTTTTTAGTTTAACTTTTAGGCACTGATTCACCCTAAATAGACCATTTTTTAGAGGTTGGAAATGACTTTTGGATAGCTCAATGTGTAAAAAGATAATTCAAAGATTCCTCTAAGAAAGATCTTCCAAAGCATTCTAGCCGAACATTTCATGTTTCCAAAAGAATAGTGCTTAAACATTTACAATGTTACCCAAGTCACCATATATTTTAAAATATATTTTGTCCTCTAACTATATCTAAAACATAAATCTAAATGAAATCTACTAGGTTCTTGAATGTCTCTCAGTCTTTGTATTAAAAGATGTTGAATTTAATATTTTAAAAACTGAATTCGGATTAAAATAAATCAAGTAAATGTAGTGAGTTCAGGTTGATCTACATGAAAGATATCAAGTCAAATGATAATTTATTTTGTCACCTATAAATAAATTTAAATAAAATAAATAAAAAACAAGGGGAAAAAGGAGATAGGTTTTAATCTCGATTGCCTATGATTAACATGATTAGTTCTTGATTCTTCCTATTCCTAATCCTCCCTTGTTTTTTCAAATCCTCAATCTATAAGAAAAAAAATGAAAATAAGTGAAATAATCCTAATGTACCATTAACAATGAAATGAGAGAAAAAAAAAGGGAGAGAGATTTAAGAGGGAAAATGACTTTGCTGACAAAAGGAGGAAGATAATGGACCCCTTTTTTGTCCTAAATTAGAAGTTCTTATACTCTCATTAGATCTCAAATTGATTATAAGCAGTAAGGAATTTATTTGCTTAAAACTTATTTCATTCTCAATAAGAATTTGTTTTTGTTTCTCTATCGTTTTTTCTGCTCTTTTTTTCATCCGTTTCTTGCCATTTTAACCCATTTCTGCCTATTTCCTAAATCATTTTAATTTAACTAAATAAACCGATGCAATGGGCCTTAATGGGCTTACTTAATGGGCTCAGAATGGTCCTATAAATTAACATATATTCCGAAAATATTATGAAAAATCACAAAGAATCATGATAAATTATATTTTTAAAATAATTTCAACTATTGAATTCAAATTTTAGCCCTAAACATAAATCTGTAGTGACCAAATGAAGAGAAAAAATATCAAGTATACTAAGATGTAATCAAGGAATATTTAAAATATAAATATGGTATAAAAGTATGTAAAAATCATACATTAAGCATGTATTTCACAGAAGTATCATATCAATTAGCGTAAACTAGTGCACCAAATATACTAATTATGCATTACTTATCACATAAAAATGACATCTTATTAGTGGTCATCTTGTTGGCTTCCTAGAGTTGTGAATCTATTATTTTTTTCTAATTTTTTTTTTTATTGGCCTTATGGGTATTTTCATCTTGACATCTATTTTCTTCAGACTACAACATTATTTAAATAAAACTATGATGATGACAAACACACATAAGATGAGTCAATGAGTTGAAAGATGCTAAGTATTAGTTATGGATGATAGATGATTAAAAAATGTTGCATGCGTTATCATTAATTTAGTATAATATAAATTTTAATAGGATTTAAAGTAATTTTTTAAAAAATAAATATAATTTTAGGAAATATATTTGAATATAATATATTGAAATCTTGAATTCTGTTGATTTTACTACTTGACATTATTACAATATATATTTTTGTGAGAATTGTTAATATATATAAGAATTCTTATTGTGTAAAAGTAATGATTTGAATTTTATAATCATCATGATTTAATGATGTAAAATATGAATATGAATGGTTATTTAGTCCACTAGATGCTGATAATCTTATTTATGACCAGATTCCATATCAAATTAATTGATTGAACCTAAAGTATTTTATGTAGCTGCTTAGGATTTTTAATTTTTGATAAATTTTAATTAAAAAATGACATTAAAAGTACTTATAACATGATCATGATTGTTTATGTTTGAAAATGTGTGATTGATTTAAGGTGATACTGATAAGTTTTAATCAAGAATTATTACTTCATTTCAAAATATACTATCAATTTTGATATAAGGATATAAGAATCTTATCTAACTTGTTAAAATTTATGTTTCTATATATATATACATCTGTTGCGATTAATGGTAATACATATTGGTTTCTCTTAGTAGATATTCAAACTCTTAATGGTCACATTGTATTGATTTCTAATTGTTTAAAATTTTGACTAATAGAGCGATTTTAGTGTTCAAAGATCGACATAAATGGACGTAATTTAACGATTTTAGTGTTCAAAGGTGGACATAAATTGTTTTAAAAGGTCATTCACCTTTTTAGTCCCAAATCTAGACAACTGGAAAAAGAAAATTATTCTTTTTTTGAGTCAGGTTTATAAATATTTGAAATTTGATCATTTTGTTTACGACAGCCCATGTGATATTAGTCAACCATAGAAAACAATACTACAGAATCTTCATCGATTTGGCATGGTTGGCAGTATCATCTTAATTACTACATTGCCTGTATTTTATTTGACAGTGAAAAGTACATATATGAGGTTTACCTCTAGACGCACAACGGAAGAAATAATTGAAGAGCCCAATACTCTCCCCAAGAAAACGTCTTTTGAATGGCCCTTCGTCAAAATTTCCGTGAACCAGGTGACTGCGGGGAAAAGTCCGCGTTTAGAACACGTGGTCCACGGGAGATTCTTTATTAGACCGTAGATAGACCTCATTCTGCATGTGATGGTTTTACGAAGGAAGCAAGGGAGGCAAACCAAAATAAAGTTAACTGAGCCTATAAATAAGCCCAGGTGCAAATAGAGGGCCATCGAACAATCCTCCTGTCACACCGGCCACGACAGCCTCAACTACTTCCTTCATGACTTCCGCTACTACTCAGATCCTCCCTCCCGCCTCCAACAGCGGGTTGCAGCAACCAAGGGATGACCTCCCGTCACTGTGGCGGGATGTGGCCGGCAGGGACAACTGGGCCGGCATGCTTGACCCGATCGACCCACTCCTCCGGGCGGAGCTCATGCGGTACGGCGAGTTTGCGCAGGCCTGCTACGACGCCTTCGACTTCGACCCCTACTCCCGGTACTGCGGCGGCTGCAAGTACACCCCCCGCTGCTTCTTCGAGTCGCTTGGCAAGGGGAACGCTGGCTACGAGGTCACGCGTTACCTCTACGCCACCTTGGACGTGAAGCTCCCCAACTTCTTCCGGTGGTCGAAGAGAAAAGATCCTGGAGCGAGTCCGCTAACTGGATCGGCTACGTCGCCGTGTCCGACGACGCCACCACGGCGCGCCTCGGCCGCCGTGATATAGCAGTTTGCTGGCGCGGCACGGTGACCGATCTGGAAAAGATTGCCGACCTGACGGAGGTCCAGCAGCCGGTGCACGCCGAGGGGATACCCACCCCAGACCGCTCCGTGAAGGTGATGGCGGGCTTCGTGAACCTCTACACGGATAAGAACACGGCCGACCGCTACTCCAAGTACTCCGTCAGGGAGCAGGTGCTGGCCGAGGTGAGGCGGCAGGTGCTGCGGTACGCCGAGGAACGAGGAGAAGAGGTCAGCATCTCCATTACAGGGCACAGCCTCGGCAGCGCCCTTGCCACCCTCAGCGCATACGACTTGGCGGAAGTTGGGCTAAATAGACTGGCGCCGGCGGGGGGGAAGGAGAGGGTGCTACCGGTGACCGTGTACTCGTTTGCGGGGCCGAGACTTGGGAACGAAAGCTTCAAGGACAGGTTCGAGAAGGCACTCGGCTTGAAGTGTCTTCGAGTGCTGAACGTTCACGACGTTGTGCCCACTGTCCCCGGAGTTGTAATCAACGAAGACACCCCGGGGTTGCTGCGCAGCGCAGGGGCCTTGATTCCGTGGAGCTACTGGCACGTAGGCGTGAAGCTGGCGCTCGATTATCGCCGATCACCGTTCCTCCAAGACACAAAATTCGATTTCTTCGGCTTCCACAATCTCGAGACTCACCTCCACCTCCTCGACGGGTAAGTACTTTTCGTCACCGCGCAACAGTGTAAATGCAGCGAGGCATTAGAAGCGAGAACCGAGGTGGGGACCAGAGCCCTCTGATTCCTCACCTGCCATTGCATTGGGATTTACAGGCACCACGGGACGGGACGGAGTTTCGCGATGGTGAGCGGACGGGACCCGGCGCTGGTTAACAAGAGTTTGGACTTTCTCAAGGAGGAACACATGGTGCCCCCGAAGTGGCGCCAGGACGCCAACAGGGGACTGACCCGCACCGCCAACGGGCGATGGACACAGCCAGCGCGCACCAGGGATGACGACCACCCTGCCGACATCGACGACTAGCTCAGCCAGATTCGCCTCGCCCGCAAAGGCTGAGATAGGTTCGCTATCGGCCGGCCACGCAGGGGAGGGTTTTCTAAGTGCCCGGCGTTTGAGGAGGACGAGCCCAGGCATTACCCTCGACGAGCATATCCGAAATAAACAAATAAAAAGAACGAGATGAGGGAAAAAAATTAGATCTGCAAGTGGATTTGAGGTGCAGGAATCAAATGACCGGTTCAGATGAATCTGACGGTGTGGAGTTAGAAGTTGTAGCAATAAGCCGAAAGGCACAACTTGCAAAAGGACCAGAGAACTTTGTTATATTACATCTAAGTTGTAGCTCAGCCGAAAGTCAAAAGTATTTGAGATGTTGTTACAGCCTTTCTTCCTAACCTTATACCAGAGGACTCAGGAGCCTTCTCTGTTTCTTTTCTCAACTGCTCCCTACATTACATCAGATCAATAAAATACTTTTCAATGTAAGCTGGTGTCATAGGTACAAGCATGCATATACTCATGCCATAGATATTTTAAACGGAACCAGATGTAACAAGTGATTCTTCCAAATTCAAAGAACCTCTTATTTTATATTTTTTTCAAAATTAATGAACAATTTTGGTGATTGAATTTTAGTCGTGGATGTTACCAAGATAGATCATTATCTACCAGTTGAAAACTACTCGTTCGCAACTAATCGGTGTTCGCACACCTAGAGTTTTGAATCTAAAGGACAATTTAAGGGTAAAACTCAAAGGGAACTAAGCCCTGTAATTAGTTATTATCATTAAATATTATTTCAGCCGAACCCAAGAATGGGGTGCTCCTATTGAGTGGATGTAGTCAAGGGGAAAACCACTATAAACTCCCCAGTATTTGAACAATTTAAATCTCAGATATCAATAAAAGTCAAGGATTTAAAGAATAAATATAGAAAGATTAGAATAGTTGACCAAGAGTCAAATTATAACTTTATCATATTAACACCATCTATTGATCTTATGACATCCTTAAATTCAAACCGAATTAGAGCATTCATGTACATAGTTGTAACAGAAACTTATATCTAATGACTATTCTACTATTTGGAGATGCGTAATATTATTTTACCTTTAATGAAAATTTTCTCTATTTGAAGCATGTTTTCAGGCCCTGAATTTTTCGTAGTGTCTTACATAGGTATAATATTTCGAAATTTACAAGTCTCTTTGAGTGACTTTATTTATGTGAAATACTTCACTTATGGATGACCCTCTCAAGCACCAGAAGTTTGCATTATTATGTAAATAACTTTAATGTTCACAAAAGGGTTTTGTGATATGGTTAAAGATCGATTATGATACGACCACTTGAAAATTTTAATTCAATTTTGAATGAGAAGAGTAACTAAGGTGGAATGTTGTATAGGGGGATAATTGTTTATTAAATTAAGGGTCAAGGACACACTGAATTTAGGTTTCAAATCATGCAGAAAAATAGTAATGTGATAACCTATTGGGAATCCTATTCTAAGATGGAACTAAGTTATTGGATTGAATTTCCAAATATTAGAATTTCTAGGATTTTGTTATGTTTACTACCTATTTTGTTGAATATCTTAATATAGTAAAGGAGCTGGGGGTATGTGTTAGAAGGCCAAAAGTTGGCATTCAAATCAAAAGTCAATTCAATTACATGTATTAAGCTTTCCCTCACGTTTAGAGTAGGGTAGAAATGATATTTTAATACCTCTACAATCTTATAATGCATCAATACTCAAACAAAGTAAACCATGCACCTAATAATGAGTAAGTGAGAACTTTACAAGAATGTCTTTGATTGAGTATTGAGAAATGCATAAATCAACAGACATGTGCATATGAAATTCTCAATATATGAATTAGGCACATGAAATTCTACAAGCTTAAAATGCATCAATACTCAAACAAAGTAAATGATGCACCTAATAATGGGTAAGTGAGAACTTTACAAGAAATGCATAAATCAAACAGACATGTGCACATGAAATTCTCAATAAACATACTATTGTGTTAGATGATCTTGTTTGAAAAATATTCTATACTTCAAAAATGATGATGAACATATCAATAGGTATGGACAACAAAATACAAGACAAGGGTATGCGAGCTTACTTAATTTATCACATTCTCATTATAATAAATCCTTGTGTCTTCCGTGTGTTAGTTTTGCCTTGAGTTAATGAGCATAGATAGTTCTCTCAAACAGATGTGATTTTCTAAGTATTTGAGAATAATGAATTACAATTCACAGTTGAGCATTCCGAATTATCAAACCCATGACCAACAATATTGAGATTGTTATTTAAGAACTTAACTTGAGGACTATCTCAATTAAGGAAATCTGAATTTGACTTGAATGTCAAACTATCGTGAAATTTGAATTACTATCCTCATATGCATTTTATCTATATCAGAGTTTATCATAGATTTTTTCATGTAAAGTAAGTATGGTATCATAGCAAGTTTGTTTCACTGGGGTTTTCATCAGCTCTTGTTCAACATCTCCTACCTAAGGGAGTGTCATTGTTGTCGCCTCCACCACTATTGTTGCTGTCTCTATCTAGCATCAGTCTTGTTTGGCATCTCCTACTTGAGGTAGCCCACTACTGTTGCCTCTATTCAGCATTAACTTTGTTCAGTTAGGGTTTCATTGTGAAGCACTTCTTACATCATTTGAGGCATGTTATCCTTTAACTATTTATAGGCATGATATCTTACCATTTCAAGCAGGTTTTCTTTATGTCATTTAGAGTAGTTCTACTTTTTTCAGTCCTCTTGCCTAGGGATGACAAGTTTTTCTTCTTATTGGAGTCACAAGTTACCACTACTGTCAATGTTATCTCTGCCAACACTGCAACACCACCTCCTTTTATAGTGAGGTCCCTTGTCAATGAGGAAGTTTTACGATGATAGAGCACTGATCTTGCTCTATCTTATGTCTTCAAGAGTGATCTCCATTTGACATTTGACATTAGATCTGAGTTCATCAGTAGCGGGTTTATCAACGACATCTTCAAGTTCATTCACATCATTTGTATCTACATCCAGCCTTTTGTCTAGAGGTTGAAATATCTAGGTTCATTATCATTGCTTCCATCTTCATCAGTCTTCTTGAGAGAGGTGAAATCAGCCTCTCTTATCCACGCTTGTCTCAGACCAATGTTGTACTTTGTCCTTAGTTTATCTCTCTTTGTTTTGCATCAGTTCTACGTCTTTCCTAGTTTTGTGACCAAAGTTCTCCACAGTCCAAGTTGCTATAGTCCATGTTGTATGGTGTTGTTTACTCACCTCTACCTTTGTTGAAATGCCCTTCACCTTTCAATCCTCTATGAGTTCATTACTTGATTGGTGGGAGGGGTGCTGGCCCTCGCCTCTTCTAAGAGCTGAGGCTTGACATCACATCAATTGTTATAGCTAAGAGCCTTTGCATTAAAGCTTTGCACTATGCAGATCTCCTAGCAAAAGGATATTCTCTATATGCTTGGTGCCAACCTATCAACTACCTCATGACCCCGAGGTAGGCTTTGCAGCCTCGAGGTGTTTGGTGATATCATATCCATGGTGACTTGTTCTTGGGGCATGACAAGCATCAGAGGAGACAAAGGTGTCGATGAATCCACAACCTTAGTGGCAATCATCTATGATTACCATCAAAGGGAGAGTTGCTGCCACAACAAAATCTTCGTCATCACCAACAAGTGAATGCTTAGAGGACAAGATTTTTGTCATCACCAACTTAGTCAAGATGAAGTTTTCAAAGTTCATCTTGAGGGAGTGTTGGAAGTTCTAGGTCGTAAAGAAATAGTGTAATTAGTTGATGATGTTTTCGCAAAAGTTGTGTAGTGTTACTCCCTAGATAATAGGTTAGAGTTGAATGAATCTAGAGGCGGTTTCCACCATTCTCCCCTCTATCCTCCGTGACATTAGTTTCTACATTTACAACATATAGAATTATGGCAATCACCAATACGATGTCAGAACTTTGTGTTCCTTGTTTAAAAAAAAATTACTCTTCAAATTAATGATAGTTTGCTTGAACTTAAATTTCGAAACTCTTCTTTATTTCATTACAATCCATTAGACGTTTACAAATCTCAATTTTATTGATCAAATCTTTTGGAATTGCTTACACAATAATTTCCAAATGGAACTTTATTTTTGTCTAAATCGATGTTCGAGTGGTGCTTATGTCTACTTGACGTCATCACTCAAATTTCCTTTTTTAAAATTTTAAAAATATTTTTTACCATCATTAAGTTTAGAACTCATATAAAGTCATATTCTTTGAGAAAAATTTTGAAAATTTTCTTGATATTATCTTACATCCTTGTGATCAACTTAAAAAATTATCACCAGTTTTTAAGTTTTATTGATTTTATATGAACATAGCTTTAGAGAATTGATTTTAAAAATCTAAACATTAGCTTCCATAGATAGAAGTTCTGAGTCCCATGACCTTCGAGAAGAGCATCAGCTGCTTGATTTTTATTTCCGTCTTGAAGCAGATCTCGAAGTCAAAGCTTAGGAGTCTTGGGAGCCACCTAATGGCCCAGAGCCACTTGTCGCTACTCTAAGAGGAACTTGAGACTTCTATAGTTAGTGTAGATAATGAATTTACGGCGGAGAAGCTAGTGGAGTCATTTCAAAACTATGAAAACCGGCCGTGTTCTTATCCGTGTAGAGGTTCACGAAGCCCGCCATCACCGTCATGGAGCGGTCTGGGGTGGGTATCCCCTCGGCGTGCACCGACTGCTGGAAGTCCGTCAGGTCGACCATCCATTCCGGAACGGTCATCGTGCCGCGCCAGCAAAGTGCTATGTCGCGGCGGCCGTGGTGGCGTCGTCAGACACGGCGGCGTAGCGGATCCAGTTAGCGGACTCGCTCCAGGCATCTTTTCCCTTCGAGCACCGGACGAAGTTGGGGAGCTTCACGTCCAAGGTGGCGTAGAAGTAGCGTGTGATCTCGTAGCCAACGTTCCCCATGCCAAGAGACTCGAAGAAGCTG